GGTTTTAATTTCCTGTATATCACGTTGAACCTGTTTCATACATTCTATTTCTTTCCTAAATTGCTTATTCAGGGGTTCCATCATTTTTATATTCTGCTCTATTTTTTGATCAGTGTGTTCTTTAGAAGTACTTAGTACTTCTTTGATTATAGTTATCACTAAATTCTTTAGTTCCGAAATTATTTCTGGTCTGATTTCTTCTATACCTTCCTGCAGTTGTTTCTTTACTGCCAATGCTATTATTTCAGAGATATCTGGAGTGTGATTTCTAGTTTCCTCAGTGATAGTGTCTTCTGCAGTTGTAATGGGTGGACTTGCGGCCTGAGACTGCATTTTGTTCCTTCTCTTTGTCATTTTGTATACCACTGTCTTCTGAACTTTGGTGTAAAGCTTGGATAGAGTTAGAGTTATTACCTTAGCACCAGGTCCGGATCTATGAAGTTCGGATTCCTCCAGGTGGGCGTTGTTTGGATCTGGCTGCTGTGCTCCACTTCTTTCTGCTGCAGCCCTTAGAGTTGAACCCATTGTGCCTATCTGGTAAGATGTTCTGCTCTTGAATCAGCTGGGTGGGTCTTGCCTCTAGCCTCTTTGCAGAGAGTTCTGCTGAAGGGTTCCTTGCTGGGCCTATACTCTGGGTCGAATGAAGATCCGTGGGCCCTGGGTGGTCTCACTCACATGCCGGGCCTGCACTCTGGGTATATTCAGGATCCTGCGGCCCCGGTCATCTTACTCCCTGGTGTTTTCCCTGAAGTTTTGGCTTTACTTTCAGACCTTTATGCACTCCCTTCTTTGGGGCACATTCTCTGACCTACAAGGACTTCTGCAATGTGGGTGGAAGCCTTGCTGACCCACATGCCAGGAAAGCTAATAGCATATGGGTGTCCATAAGGTCTGCTGTTGGCTGAAGCAGTAGGTAGGCCCCTTGGGTCATGACTAAGAAGCCTCTAAATGCCTCGATTGCTGAGAAATATGACTGAAATCCCTGGGAACTAGTTCCCATTGTGGTCTTTCTTAAGCAGAGTGTTCCCTTCTCAAAACACAGTCTTTTATTTTCCTACAATTTCATCTGGGAAGAGTGGGGAAGGTTTAGATTCTGGGGATGTTTAAAATTCTAAATGCATTTTTAAAGATGGCATTCAAGGCAAATTTATTATTTTAACATGATATTAAGTCTTTGGCTTCTTTTTAATGTTAATGCTCTCAGCAACCAAGTTTTCTCTGGCAGAACTTTTCATGTCCTACCTTTCCTGTAGGTTCCCTTCTGGCAAACTTGAAAACATTTAAATCACTCGTCTGTGATATTTTCTCTTGATTTTAAATACAGGTCTGGCTAAAACCTGCCGTTTGTGTCCATGCCCCAGCCTCAGCCCTGAGCTGCCTTGAAATTTTTTCTATCAGATTAATTAGGTTTCTGCCCTTCTAGTCTCCTGTGGTCTCAAGACATGAACAAAATGTAGGCACATTTTCTGTGAGACCATAACACGTGGTCCTGAGCCCAAATGTCAGTTGAGTTCTTCTTCATAACTGAAATCGTCTGGGCCTAGTCTTTGATATTGTATTTTTATCAGCATTCCAGCCTTCTCAGTGCCAACCAAACCTGCCATCAAGCTAAATTTATAGCATTCTAGAACTTCTCTAAGGGCATCTCCAAAGTTCTCCAAAATCTTCTTCCAGACCAGCTCAAAAAGGCTTCTAAACTACATGGTCAGTTACACTCGTCACAATGACACTACTAGTAGGAAAATCTTAAGTAACTTTCCTCTTTGCTGAGGCACAGTACCTGATGCCTGATGCTTAAAGGAGGAGAAGTGTATTATAGTTCCTAACTTCAGAAGTTTCAGTCTTAAACTCAGGCCTCACCACACAAGCAGCATGGTGGAAGGGCCTTGGTGTAGGAAACACGCTCATGTCATGGCATTCACGAAGCAGAGTGAGAAGGCTGAAGCCAAGGAGGGAGATATGCTTTCCAGGTCCTGACCTCTGTGACCGGCCTCTTCCAACCAGATCCTACCTCTTAACAGCAAATGAGCTGTAGTGACCTCATGGTTCAGCCCCCTTCTAAAAGCCCCACCTCTGAGTGCATGTATACTTTGGAGGACATTCTTGACATAAGGCACAACAATTATAATGGAAAACACTGCTGCTTGTTTATGATACCAGTCAGCTGGGACTAAAGAGCCTTAGCAAATTACACTTTATATTTTATGTTGATACAAACATTTATGAAACATATTAAATGTTTCTTTATTTAATATTCTTCATGCTGAATATTTCTGTTAAAAGATTGTGTCTTGTTTAAATAAATTCTTTTTTTAAAATAATAAGCAGATGCTATATATATTTCTTTTATGTTTCAAATGTCCGAGCTGCCACTCAGGCATGCTCCTGAGAGAAGAGCACATATGACCATGAGGTCATCAGAGCCACCTCTTAGTTGACAGGCAGACTGCCAGAGGTTACCTGTTCTTAATACTCTTCTTTGTTTTGTTGTTTTTGTCTTTTTAAATTTTTTTAATTCATTTGAATGAGAAAAAATAGCAATAAAACAGTTTCAAAATAGGTTAGTAGGTCAATTAACAATAATTAATACATTGCATATTGTTATCTTCATAGTATGCAGTGGACAAGATGCAGACATGATGTCTAAACAGTATTAGTACAAACCTTTCTTCTCATTGAACTAATAGAATGTAGCTGTATATCTATCCTAACTATTTTGTATATACATATATATATATTACACTATAAAATGGTCCTTTATTTATATCCTCCTTTTTTGTTTTGCTTTGTCAGAGATGGGTGTTTCTTTGTTGCTAGAGAAGCTGTATTTGTAGAAGTCTTTAAAAGACCTTTTCTTTCTTTCTTTCTTTCTTTCTTTCTTTCTTTCTTTCTTTCTTTTTTAATTTATTTAGGTTGGGGTCTACAGTGTGTTCAGGGTTCACTATTACATTGGACTCATAGTGACTGCCTGTTTACAGGCTCCCAAAAGCTAGGATTGCAGGTTCGTGCCACCATGCCCAGTGTCAATTGCTGTCTCAGCATGCCCTGGGCACAGGGCTGGCACAGCAAGCCCAGGGATTGAACCTCTGGCCCCTGTGCATGCTTGCAGTCACTTTAATCTATTGAGCTATTTGTTTTTGTTTTTGTATTTTAAATAATTTTATTGAGAAACAAATAGCAATGAGACAGTTTCAGAACCAATTAGTAGGACAGTTTCAATAATAAATATACTGCACATTATTGTCTCAGTGGTTATTCATTTTACAAGATTCAGACATAACATCCCATCCACAAATACTATTAGAACAAATTTTATTCACTGAATTAAGAGAATGTAGCTGTATATCTTTCCTATTTTGAATATGCAGATACAAAATGGTCATTCATTTATATCCCCTTTTTTTGTTTAGTTTTGTCAGAGTCTGCTGAGCTATTTGGTTGGCCCCTAAAGGACCTTTTCATACTTGATGCCAATTCAAATATTGTAGGTACTTGAATTCAGCAAAATAACCCAATATAGTCCAATAGTCCATAATAGATAAATTCTTTGTAATTTAGTTGGTAATATAAATCTAGCAAGTAATATCATATTATTATGGTCTTATTTATTTACTCTGTCCATCACTTCTTGCCTTTTGACTAAGTTCAAGTTTATTTAATGTGTCTGTATAAGGTAGTTTGCCAGGTAGTTATTGCTCAAAATAGTATAAATAAAAATATGTGTACACTATTAATCCTGTATTTACCTTGAATATCTCTCAGTAAATGTTTAATATCTTTGTTATGCTATATATAATTCTTCCTCAGGGTACTTATGTCACACATATATTGTTATTTCTCCTCTGGTAACAGGCTATGTAGTCTAAAGCACATCTGGTGCGGATTCTTTCTGTGTAGACCAGATGGGGTTTTAAAGAAAAGTAAATAACTCTTTTATTTCAGAAACCTGTTCTTTCAGAATCACAGAATCCTTTTTATGTTTTGTAGCTTAACTATCTGTTCTATAAGATGCTTTATAAACATGATGTTGTTTAATCTTCAGAGCAAACTTTTAGGTTTGATATTATTACCCTCATTTCACAGATGAGAGAACTGAGGCTAGGAAACCACTTAGTGCTATGTAATGAAAAGGTCTACGCTGGCTTGTCCATAATGACAGGTATTAACCACATTAGTAAATTGTATTCCAGAATGATTTCTCTTTTAGTAATGTCAGCTAGCCAGAAGAATTCTATCTGAGTAAATTTATAACTGTGGTGTTCTACAGCATGGTCTTATGTAGAATGTCAAGATAGGATTTTAAGTATTGACAATAAAATTTGAAGAAATATGATAGTTGATCAAAGGCCTAGCAGAATCATGACAAATTTAATGTCAAATGGTAGAATTTTCATTTGGACTTTTAATTTTGGATTTGAAGATCGGAATGCTGTCATGTGTCTTGTATTATATCCCTTGTATGCAAACAAAGCAGTCAGTGAACAAAAACTTGTACGATATTAACATTTTCTTTTTTCCCCTTTTTTATGCAGTGGGATGCATCCTGCTTTTTTCTGTGAGTTCCTCTCTGTGGCTTGGATTTATCACAGTAGCATTTGTCTTCAATTTGTGTGTTAACTAGAAACCAAGCAAAGACATGAGGAGATTTGTTTACTGCAAGGTGGTGCTGGCCACTTCACTTCTGTGGGTTCTTGTCGATGTCTTCCTGCTCCTGTACTTCAGTGAATGTAACAAGTGTGATGACAAGAAGGAGCGGTCACTGCTGCCAGCACTGAGGGGTGAGTACTTACGAAGCAAAGAAGAAGCTTGACCAAGCATGACACCTCAAAACAAGCAAGGTTTCGCCTTATGGAACTAGATGAGTATTTTGGCAGAACTATTAAATTACATGTAACTATGGGGAAGCTACTTTTCTTGGCCTTAGGTGTCTGTTAGGAGAAATGAGCAAAATCAGCTAACCTCTAAGATACCTTCAATACTAGCAATTTAGTGTTCTGATATTGTATGAGAATAACAGTTTCTCTAAATTTTATTTTTATTAATACATGTTTGAAATGCCCGTTGATTTCATTCATTTGGTGGAGTTGGTGCAAGTGCGTAACATATCTTAATTCTCATCCCTTTGTGCGCAGAATTTAAAATCTGGATTGCCAGAAGCTAAAAGTGTTTAGAGCACCAAACATATAACATGAAAGGGAAAAACTACTAAAATGAGATAAGTGGGGATTTAGCAAACTAAAACAACATGTGATACAGGTCATACAGGTACAGATTGCCAGATATTATAAAACACCAGTTCTTAAAACACGTTCATGCCCAGGTTCAACCTGTGAGCCTGTAGATTATTAGCACTATGTTAAGAGCCAAAGGTAATTTCAAGTATACTATGAAATCACTTTAGTTCAGTGCTTTTCTAAAGAAATGCTTTCAATAATAACAGGTACTTCTAGAGAAACATAAAGTTGGTATAAATTATGTTTTATCAGGTAAGAAGATGCAAATTCATGTTCTGCAAAATGGTTTCCAAAATTTTCTTTATGCTTTCCTTTTTGTTGACTTCAAGATCTATAAATATATTTACATTTTAGAGTATTCTCTATAAATGAATATTTCTAATGTACTTGAGGGGCCTTAAGATGAGTTTTGTTGTCCCTGAACCAACAATATATTTTCTGCTCAATAAAAGTTTTTGAATAAATATGACAAAATATCACTTTAATTGAATGGTAGTTGATGTTTTTGAGATGTTTAGCAAAGTGAATCCAAAGTACCTGGGAAGTGTCAGAGTCCAGATCCATTTGGATATTTTATATGCATTTTTATGTCTTTATTTTACAATTATTCAGATAGAAGAACTTTATGAGTTCCTTATTTTTTGATGAATGAACATGGGAATGATTTGCTGATCTTTAGTTTAAACCTTAAAATAAATCAGCCTTTTCTGCTTCTTTGCTGCAGTTGAGCTGCTGCTTGGCTCAAAGTGGAAATGTGTTTTGATGGATCGCATCAGTTTGGAATGACCACTTTGTCATTTGTTGAACAGATACATTTATACTGGTTGCAAAAAAATCATAACCTGAGTCAGCAAAACTATGACAGCTTTTTTGCAAGTGTCGGAAAAATGCAGTTTTGATGACTTGAGTCTGTAATATTCAGTCTTCAATCCCAAAATGCGCAATTGAATAACGTAAGACTAAGGTATTTTTCCTTGGACTTAAATTGTAAAATTAAACTGTTTTATCTTTACTTGTAAGACTTATTGTCTTAGTCCATTTATGTTTACAATGACATATGACAGACTGGTTGATTTACCTACAACAAAAGTGTAGTTTTCAGTTTGGGAAGCGGGGTGTCTAAAATGAAAGCATGGGCAGAGCTGGAGTCTGGGGAGGGCCTATTCCTCATAAAGACCTGCCTTCTTACTAACTTCTTATGGCTGTTTAGCTGAAGCCATCTCTCTTCGGCATTTCTGTAGGGATATTCTTCCTATTCATGGGCATTCTACCCTCATGACCTATGCAACTTCCAAACTACCTCTTGCTAGGAGCTAGGATTGCATGAGTTAGGGGGAGGCCCAGAGTTAGTTCTTTGACTTTAATGTTGTACATTAATATCATTAGTCATCTAAAATAGAAAATAGGCTTGAGGATTTAAATTTTATTTTTATTATTATTTCAGAATATTTTAGAAATTTTTGCTATAGATTTCCATTTTTATTTATAAGCAGATGGTAGCATAGGAAGTATGTTTGATGTACGTATTTATTCTAAATCTATAAAAACTGCCTTTTGCTTTAAAAATATTTAATCTTTCTGGTTTGGATTAAGTGGTTTCTAAGTTCTCTTATATTTTTAAACTTTACATGATTTTTCAGTACACAGTATTACCATGTACTGGGAATTAATTTTTCATATATTTTCACTTATTTATTTTTCAAGTATTTACTATGTGTTAAGTCTGGGGGATATAAATAAATGAGGTCTCGGGTTTGTGCTGTTTTGCAAATAAGGGAACTAAGTTCCAGCCTGTCACAGAATTCTCTGTCTCTCTCTGTCTCTCCTATGTCTCTGCTCTGTCTCTGTCTCTTTTTCTGTGTCTATCTGTCTGTCTGTTTCTCTTTCTTTCTCCGTCTGTCTCCCTCATTCTCTGCAACTATATATATACACACTTATACATGACTTAATAATGTGGCTAGGCTCTGGGAAACATTCAGGCTGTTTTGGCCCTGTGTTGGGCATGATAGACTATACTTATGTGAACTATGACTCGTATGGGCTTATTAGGTGATATAATCTAATGTGAACACCATTGTATATGATAATGTTGATAGAATTCAAGTAAAATATATAAGTCCAATAAATAGTAAAATAAATATGAAATTATTTCAAAACATAATAGATACCAGGAACAGCATGAAGGATCTTTTAAGTAGAGCAAGCTTGATTTGGATTATTAGTCTGCACTTCCCTGAATATGTGGCATTTAGTTGAGGCCTTCACCACAATTGTAGTTAACAACTGAAAAAGAAAATAGTAGAATTTTTGTGGAATCATTACATTCCACAAGTATCCCACAGGATACTTCTTAAAGAGAAAATACAAAGTGCTGATGTGACTACTTTTTTTATTTTATTTTTTAATTATTTAGCACAGGGTCTACAGGATCTCACTAAGTAGACGCAGTGATTCCCTGCTTTTAGCCTCTGGGATTACAGGCTCAAGCCACCATGTTCAGTCTCAACTGCTGTCTCAGTGCACCCTGGGAGCAGGGCTGGCATGGCATGCCAGTGATCAAACCACAGCTGCTGTGCTCAGCCTAAGCAGGTGGTTCGGTCACTGAGCTGTCTGGCCAGCCTGAGATGTGATTACTTGATTCACATTGTAAAATTCAGATTAACATTGTAGTATTGATGCAAAGAGGCATAGGAGAGAAAATTTTCCATAGAAAAAGGTAGACCTTATATATAGATGTTTGCAGTATGCAGGTATAGCAGATCAGTGGAAAAAGTGCTGGACAATTAACAAATATGAGAATAAAATGGTTTCCCATGTGGTGAAATATAATGCTAATTTTTATCACCAGCCAATACAAACTTTGAATATATTAAAAACTCAAATATCAAAAACATTAAAATTTTAGTAAAAAAAATAAATATCTATAAGACCTTGGAATAAAGAGAAGTTCTAAGTAAAACAGTAAGCATATTGTCTATAAAATATATACATATATATTTATATGTTTGATTATTATAGGGTCTCACTACACAGCTCAGACCCTGCTTTCAGCCTCCCCAGCTCTAGGATTACAGGTGTGCACCACCATGCCTGAACTCTGGGACTGGCTCTGCCCACCCTACAGACAGGGCTAATGTGGCATGTGGTGCCAGATATTGAACTGTGGTCCCTGCACTTGCCTAAGCTTGCCAAAGCAGGCACTTTAGTCTGCTGATCTATCTTACCAGCCCCACATAAAATAAAATATTGATTTGACTATATTAAAATTTGGAAAGTTGATTTATTTAAATATGCCTTTAAAGGAGAAGAAAAGTGACAAATCATAGAAGATAGTCAAAGAATACATAACTGACAAATAGTTACTAAATATATGTAAGTAATGGTCATATACTTAGTTATATATATATATATATATGTATGGCTATATATATATATATAATTTTTATTACTAATATAAAAACACAAATAACACAATAGAATGATGAAAAATAGAACTGAATAGATATCTAATAGAAAGAAAAGCACATATAGCAAATAAAATGAAAAACATGAATGAATTATATTATAATCAGGGAAAAACATTTCAAGGCTTTGATGACATGTCATCAATTTCCATTACATGAACAAGTAAAAACCCTGATATTACCAATTGTTAGTGTTGCCATATCTCTATTTTTTATGACAATTTCAAATAAGAATTCAAACATTTCTCAAACCTAAGCATGCATATATGACTCAGCAATCAGCATTATACACCTAGAAGAATTTCTTCCACATACACAAATATGTTCATAGCATTGGTATTCATAAAAATAAAACTTAAAACAACCTATGGGCTTCGCCATGGAGAGATTGAATGGATATTGGTACATTAATATGAGGAAATACAGTTGTAAAAATAAATGAACTACAGACACTTTTACTAATATGAGTGAATCTCGACAATACTACAGTAATGATAGAAACTGTGTCTCTCTAAGGTTATATATAAACATAATACTGTGTGAGGAGAAAAATAACTCAAGTTTTAAAATATCTCTCATGAGACTGTATGTAAGACTTCATAGACAAGCACGTTTAGCTAATTATGAATGAGCCTAATGATGTTGCCCCTGACAGCAGCATGGGTATGTGGAGTTTGACTGGATAGGACCATTGCTGGAGTTCCACATGTGTTTTGAAAGTGGGTTTGATGTATCTGTTATTTTTTATGAGCAACCAAATGAATGAATAAAAGCCACCGAATAGGTTTAAAAAAATAGGAAGTCATTGAATGGCTTTAAAAGATGAAGTGTTTAGATTTGTGTTATGGAAGGATCACGGTGTGTAGAGAGAGGATATTGCATTAAAAAGAGCTTCTGTGCTTGTGATGCTGGGAGAGGGTTGTACAGCAGGCTGTGGATTCTGTGTGGGAGGTGTTGCCAGCTTACAGCAGCATAGTAGCTGTGAGGTAGAGGAGGAGTAGGTAAAGTGAAGGAGCGTTTAGGTACAATAGTAAACACTGGGTGCGTGACAGGATTAAACAGTATAAGAGATAGAAGTCA